TGATACATGTCAATGTCCAGAAACATAATATTAGTATGGTACATGCAAAAAAACAAAAAAAATGGCATTACAATATTACATGTCCTAAAACAATGTACATGGTACTACTTTCAAACAAATGAATAAATAAATAAAGCACCATACTGATACGGACATACGATATATGTCCAAAACAAGCACAAAAATATAGCATTACCATGACACTATGCCCAGAAACATAGTATGCCCAGAAAACATGGTATTAGATTAGAACATGTTCTACAAAATAATTTGGATGGACATTCAAAAAATTTTATTTAATATAATTAATTATATAATAAATTATTTTAAAATAATTTTATTTTCAAAAAAGCAACCTACCATGATAAATGTCCAAAAACACGGTAGTAGAATAGCATACATGTCCTAAAAAAAACATGGTACTACCTTGATGCTTTGCCCAATACAAACAAAGTTAGTATTACCATGGCACTATGCCTAGAAACATAGTATTACCATGGGAGATGCCCAAAAAAAACATGGTATACATGTCCTAAAAAATAACATTGGAGTATATGATACTTATTAAAAAAAATTTTTTTAAAAATCAATCTGCATGGCCTATAGGGCACACAAAAGATTTCGCTATAAACAGGAAAAATTAAATACAGAGAAATTGTCACGGATGGAAAGAGGTCACGCATTGATATTTGTTTCATCTCAGTGAAAAGAGCTGCAGCGTGTCTGTGTGTGAAATAAATATAAATACAATTAGCCGTGTAAGGGCAAATATATTACAGCAATTGCAACAGAAAATGTAGTTGCAGCGAAGGAAAACGCATCTAAAACAGGCCACCTGAGCTCAATTCATGGAAAGCAACACAATGCAGTTAACGCAATATAAGGTCCGGTCGTTATAGCAACAGGTAACCCGTGAACCATCTGTCCCTGAGCATCATTAATTCCCATTGACCATGCACAACACGCAGGCACAGCTCTATAAAATGTGCCTAGATCAGAGCTACCAGGGTTTATAGTGATTTGGTTGGTTCGAATTTTTTTTTTCATTATGTTTTTCCCCCCAAATACACTGAAAAACTAGCATCATTCAATCAGTGATCTGAAATGCCCATCTGTTTCTACACAGTCCGTGTATGACCGTACTGCCACAAATAACCAGTACAGATTAGTACAGATGTATTTCGCGGATAACTGAGCGCTTTAAGTAATGGATCATCCCCTGACAAATGAATCCCATCACAGAAGTGAGGGTGACACGACAGGACACGAAAAGTCTATCTGCTGCCCAAAACTGACTGATTGACTGACAAGCCGCTCATTTTCTAAACAACAGTAACAGCAACAGCGCGTTTGTTTCCTGGCAACAGGCAAGCGCTGATATTATTCACGCATTGTACGTGACGGCCTATTGCGATCTCAACAACACCAGCGCAATAACACATGCATTACAGTCCAAAAACATTGATGGTGCAAGCGAAAATCGATGAGCATTTGGCCAGTGACACTCAATACACACGTACCTTTAGATTTAGTTGGGGTAAAGCTGTCAAAAGCATTGCACATGGATACAGCATTAGCGTTGGGTCTGGAGAGAAGAATCGCGGAGCCGTCTTCGGCAGTGAATAATAGAACCCACCTTTTCTTGAGCATCAGAGACGGGCAGAAATGAGTGCGGTTAACCCACGAAGCGCATCGTCCCCACCACACCGAGTCTTTCAGACAGCGTCATCCCACCTGTAATACGGCTCTCTTAAAGACACACGCGTCTCTTTCACACGTACAGAGCCTGAGCGATGAGTGCATCTTACTATGGCAAGCCGCTTTAACATTTACAACTTAAACTAATATATATTTTTATGTAAGTAGTACTTACATTAATTACTAGTAGGTACTCAGTTACACATATCTAGTACCAGTGACGTAAGCTTTGTTCTGGTAAAAGCACAAAACAAAATGCACACAAACATGTCCTTGCTCTTGATATACAATCACTGATGAACAACTTTGGTTTTAATGAGAGAGAAAAAAAAACTACACGAGGGTGGATTAGAACCCAAAACCTCAGAAATGCTTGACAAAAGTTCTACCACTAGACCACTGAAACACACACACACTGTTAATGCAAATTTATGTATTTATTAAGTTCTGTGAAGAATCTCGGTACTAATTGTATTTTATTATTAATACGTTTATTATTCATTTATATTAATATAGTCGCTTGCAATGTGGGCAGGGCCCGCGTGCGGCTGCACTGCCTGCACTGTCTGTAGTTACGCCACTGTCTAGTACTTACTCCAATCAGTGGCCACGTTTACACAGAAGTCCTGTATTTGAGTCCTTAATACAGTTTACAAACAGGGGTGCGTTTCCCAAAAGCATCGTTAGCTAACTATGGTGGTTCGTTCCATTGAATTCTATTGGTAACGACGGAACTTGCGACCATAGTTGCTTTTGGGAAACGCACCCCAGTACGGTTACTTATGGGAGTGACAACCGCATTCTCGAACGAACTCACACCCATAAATTTTCAGGACTCACAACTGCATTCTCAACAAACAAAAAAACCCTGCACTGTGTACGGAACCGGACTGGACAATTAGTTGTCTGTCACATCTCTCGATGTGAGAGAGCCACTCTGAACTGCACAAACACATGTCTTATCATGTTTCGCTAACTTACAGCAGCGGAGACATGAACTATGTATCATTTGAAGGTTTAGATTCCGTCACTGTTCTTCTCCACCGGAGCTGCTCTCTTCAGTTCTGTGTTCTACACATTTGCAGAGTCAAACGCTCCACTGTCCACTGATTGCTGCCGCCATCTTTGATATTGATTCTCACTGCACGTTCATTCAGTCACGATTTGAGATGCTACTTTGTTATTTTGTGAATGGTGTGTATATATATATATATATATAAATATATAGTCCCAATAGTTAAGTGTTAGTTTGAGCTTTGCTGGTATCTATCCTAGTAACACTGATTCCTTTTTTCATTTGACATACAGCTAGTCAGAATGGTTATATTATAGATCAATTAAAAAATCTTAACGTTAAAATAAGCCACTATTAAAAATCGAAAAAGATATTAGTGTATATTAGGTAATTTAGTTAATACAAGAATTTCTACTACCAAATTAATGTGTAAAACGGTAAAACACAAATAGATATTAAAAACTGGAATACATACTAGTAGCTGATATAATAAAATAAAATGGCACTTTTTACACTAGGCTGTATTACAGAAGTGTCCTGTTTATTCTTGACTTAAGATTTTAAAAAGTTGAATTTCCTAAGTGAAATTATCATGGTTACTAAACAGATAGGATAGGTTTAAGTTAGAACATTCTGGCAATACAATCCAGACTAGTAGTAAACAAATAAGTGACTAACTTCATAGATACCAAAAATAATTGTTAGGCTTAATAAATTACTAGTCACTATTGGATTACCTACTAGTAATTAAAAAAAAATAATAATAATAAACTACCAACAGAAAAACTAGTTTAAAGAATAAATGTATAACCAGCTTGCCATACTTGGATGTTTCTTCAATACATTTTTATTCCCTGGGTTAAGAATGTGTCATCTGCTCACTTCTAATGTAGTCAGTAGAACCTTAGATAATTCAATCAAAAACATGTTATTCATCCCATGGACACCACTGCATAGTAATACGCTTATAAGGCTTCCTAAGCCAGTAAGCTTAGGAAAACACATTCTGAATAAATGGTTGCCTTTATATCTAGTGTATTATCGTGCATGGATGGAGCATAGGTTTTGTCGTCTCAGACAGCCAATGATGCATCAATTTAAACCTCAACACTGTTGCTTTTACCCAGCACATTCAGAGGAAAATAAATATTTAATTCAGCAGCAGTCAGAAGCCATAACTGCAGCTGTGCATGTGATACATGGAAAAAGTGTAATAAGCTAGTTCTGTCTCAAGGGTGGGTTGTGGTTTAAAATAACTCGTTAGAGGATCTGTCTACCTTCTGTGACTAGGTTGTCTCTGACAATTTGTCCTTAAGCACACGTTGAAAATTGCTTGAAGATGAATACATATTCATATATAGTTCCTTACGTGGACAATGACTTTAAAAAGCAAACCTATTTCAGCAAAAACCCAATAACCTTTTTCATCATCTATTGATTACTCTATTAGCAAATATGCACATTTTCATTAGGGAGACAAAAAAAAAAAAGTCCACATCCTGCAATAATAGGAGTTCATTCTTTGCCATATATTATGCTATAAATACAAGTTGTCAGAGGGGGACAATTTAGTCAACTTATTGCCAGGATTTGAAATATCAACCTTAAATTCTCTAATAAAAACCTTGGTGTCATGACCTTGAGCAAAAGGCTCATAATGAACTGTGAGCCCTGCCTTAAGCATATCTATCTTGAAATATTAAAATTCAGTCCCAAGTTCCCAAAACAATTAACACTTTCACTGTCTGATAGAATTCTTAAATTCTTATTTAATTTAAAAGCACCTTTTTAAAAAGGCACTAATTTCATGGAATGACCTATAAATATTAGTAGCACACACCTAGTGTATAGCAGATTATAAGTCAGCATAAACGTCAATTTCTTTTCAAGTTGGCTACTTTTTTTCTCTACACATGCTAAGTTTATCTGAAAAAAACAACAACTGTTTTCTTCCCATGTTTCCAGTCCAGATCAAAGCTGCTCATCTCTACATTTAATACTAAAACTAAAAACTTTGAAAACCGAAGCAGTCCCCAGCAATCTGTACTTTTCTTTAGTCCCCAAAAAAAATTAAGCATTTGAGCAAAGCCCTGTCACATAGGTTTGAACAATCTGTTCAGCAGGCCCTCTCCTGGCAGACAGACTCATTACAGCACCAAAGTTGAATTTCGCCACAGGGAAAACATACTGCACCTTTTCCACAATGAAAACACCACAATGTGCTTATGCAAAAAAACAAACAAAAAAAAACTGACCCGAGACTCCAAATCCCTCAAACACACTCTACTTCGCAACTTGATAATCTTTTATTATTTGCAATGTTTCATCTCTCCAACGTTTTCCAGTTTGATGCGAAAGCATTTAATTCCTTAAATAATAAAGAGCGCAAAAAATATTTACACATTTTTTTCAATAAAACTAATCAATGGATCATTGTAAGCACCTCTTACCATCTAACAAATCTTAAATACAGGGAAACTGCCATTTTTTTGTTGGAAAAAAATAAATGGCATTACATCAGATTTTTTTAACTTTTAATTTCTGAAAATAAACCAAAAAAAAAAAAAACACATTTCCATATGTATGTACAGAACGCTCCTGAAATGTTTCCACTTTGCAAGTAGAAAAGGCTTTAGGATCATTACTGTCATTTCATCAAGTTGATTTTTCTATATGCTTCAAGTTTTAATGATTTCTCTTAAAATTTCCACCGCAGGCTTGCTCGAGTGGGGCTTCCACAAAGACCCCCAATCAGTTCTTCAAGAGCGGTAAGAGGTAAGACGCAAAAGTGTGGGGTAGGAAGCAGGACAAGGATGGCTTAGTAGGAAGCATGTTGGACCCCCTCCTCATCCAGCAGCACTAAGGTCAAAAAGGTCAAAGTCCATCCATGACCATCATCCCGAAATTCAACAGGTCCACCCCTTATTAAAGGATACAGGAAGCAAAAAAGGGCGAAATACAAACGCTACTCAAATTTCATTCGTCACTTAGAGAATTCATCGAATACTACGCTCATGTATCAGTCTTCGTGGATTTAAAAACGATTCCTCTCACACACACGAAAGAAAACGCCTGTAAGAGCTCTGCGTTTGATCCGACATTACAAACCTAAAGGACATGATCGCCATCACGCCCTCTACACAATATATATGACACCATGTCTGGTTTGTCATATACCACGTTGCATATAAATCTATATTAACATGTAAGAGCAGCGTTGGTTTGTACTTTTTTCCCCATGAATTTCTCATTAAAAATAAATGACGATGAATTGGTAACACGTTCATGCAGTCCTGCAGTTTTTTTTTTTTTTTTTTAAATTTTATTGTTTTTGGTGGACACTAGCTACAACAGCTATAGAGAGCAAAAGAAATGACTGAGAAATGATTGTAGTTTGTATCTGTCAAGAGCCATCCTGATCAGATAAGATTGGCTTTACGAGGATCAAGTTCAACTTGGTTGTCAGACATCCTCCTCTCATTAGTCCCTGGCAGCAGATTCTCTCCAGTGCTACCTGGGCTAGCAAAGTTCAGGATTAGCTGTTGTCTGATTCAGACTCGGCCTCCCGTAACCAAGTGAAGAAGGCAGTGACGGACTTCAGGGCCACACCCTTCCCCAGCTGCTCCGCCGGGTCTTTGCTGGACTCCCATTTGTAGAAGGCTTCCTCTTTGATCACGTCCTCGTCGTACAACGCGTCGAAAAACATGCGCAGTAAATCTGGGTAAAACAGACAAAACTATTCAGCTACACTTCCATCAACGGTGTATTTTTTTTGTTGGAAAACAGTAACATTCAGTAAGAAAGTATTACATTAATCAAAAGTGGCAGTAAAGACTTTCATAATATAAAATATTTTTAAAAATAATTAAAACTTTACAAAATACTAAAATCTTAGCCTACCTCGTCTGAAAACGGTTGAGATGCTAACGGACTTTTTCGAAGAGGCTAAACCATTTCTATAAAATAAATATTCAATAGAAACATGTCAATTACAAGTAAGAAACGTGTCAGGAACGTTTGTCAGGGTTTCTACAGACATGAACAAGTTAAATTGAAGACTTTTTAAGACCTTTTTAATACCACCTCATATTAAATTTAAGACCTAAAACCTGTAATGGAAATACACATTTTATTACATATTTGTAATATTTAATTTGTTTAAATAAAAAATAAAATAAAATATAACAAATGTCTTGATTCCTTAAGGATCATGTGACACTGAAGACTGGAGTAATGATGCTGAAAATTCAGCTTTTGTCACAAGAATAAATTAATCTAATTAAAATGTTATTTTAAAAAAAGTTATTTTAAATGATAATATTTCACAATATTACTGTTTTTACTGAATTTGATCAATTAAATGCAGTCTTGGTGAGAAACCTTACCGACCCCAAACTTTTGAAGATCAGTATAAATCCAACAAAAAAATAAAGTTCATGCATAAAAATTAACAAAAAAACTTAACTCAACCAAACCCCCCCCCCAAAAAAAAACACACACAAGAAAGACACTAGTCCTTTTGAAAATTAAGAACGCAATGTCATCTGTGCATGTGACTGAAAAGGAGGAAGTGTTAAAAAAAAAAAAACACTCACTGGCAGGCTGCTCCATCTGCACCATGAGAGCCTGGAGAGCATAGAGTGCCTGCAGCTCCTTCGCTTCATCAGAGAGGTACTTCTGCAGCAGCTTGGCCCTTTGGGTAATCTGCTCCACATCCACCTTGTAGGGATTCTCACCTAAGACAGTTCATTAATGCACACAATTAACATCAAGTACCGGTCAGTGGTCTGAAGTCAAACTAAACTGAGGGAAGTGGATTGCATTAATGAATTCACTCACATATAAGGGCAGACTGGCACACAGACATCATCAGGGCCCGCACAAACTGATTGGAGCTCATCTTCTGCTCATCTAGGTTGGCCTTTAAAGGAAAGAAATGCCAGTCAGTACACATCCAACACACATAATGTAATACCCATAATACAGATCGCTGCAATACCTTAATGTTTGATTAAAGAGACTTGAACCACAGCCAAAACACACATGCTCACCTCTACCCAGTCATAGATCCTCTGGTTGTTGGCTTTTTCCTGTAACAACCTGTCCAAATGTTTACTCAGCTCCTCAGCAGTCAGTTCCTTCTTACTAGGCTTCTCAGACTCCTCACCCAGAGTGAACTCCATTTTCTACAAATATATATACAATGTCATCTTAATGACCTTCAGGCTCATGAAGACATATGCACAGTATTATATATATGGGGTGTGTATGCGTACAAATGCATGTAAAATATACAAAAAAAATTATGGCAAAGGAAAAGAACTTCATGAAACAAATTATGAAAAATGTATTTCAGGCAAATATGAAAAATAAAAATGGATCGTTCTTTTATGGCTCTGTCAGTGAAAATGTTTGCAGACAAAGGATCATCATAAGAATAATATCATAAGAAACAATTTATGAAGATTACTAAACTTAAAATAATCTATTCTTTTAAGGTGCTGCCAGTAAAAACATTTAAGCACAATAATATAGTATTGCACAATATATATATATTTTTACATACACATTTAACATTACTAGGGACTAGTGTTGTCAAAAGACCTGGTACGTCGGTACCAAGTCGGTACTAAAAGAATGAAAACGTTACGGTACCAGGTTTTTTTAAGTACCGGTGGTACCGAGTACCCGGTCAACCCGGTTCTTGATGCACTATCCGAAAGGTGCGCAGATGCGCTCTCTTCATAAAAGCACTGAGACGTGGCGACATCAAGAGGAGGAAACACATCAAACTAACAAAACACCTTAAAGACAGACACCCAAAATGAAAGAGTTCAAGCAGGTAAGTTTCATTTTAATTTTTAATATTTAGATCTTCTCAGTGTTTCCCATACATTGATTTATTTGTGGCGGCCCGCCAGAATATCAGAACTGACCACCACAAATAGATTTTCCAAAAGGCTTTGACTTCATTGAATAAACATGAGCACTGCACGTGTCAAAGTCGAAACCCGGTGCGGGTGATTTTATATCACTATTTCTGAAGGAAACCGACCGTCTTCAGAAAATTATGGACGTCATTTTCATTTCATCTTGCCTGTAATGCCTGAGGAGCATTTGTGAGCACAGCGCTTATTTGATTACAGCCGTTACCGGGGAAACCTGATCTCTCCCGCTCTACAAGCGCCTCCTGCTGGTAGAGAATGAATTTGCAAATAGAGTTCAAGTCTGTGGGAAACACTGCTTCCGTTATGAATATTATTTAATATTTCAATTTGAATGTCGGATTGAAATGAACATCGCTGTTATTAGAGTAGTTAATCGTTAGCATAAGCGCGGCTAACGCTAATATAATGAGCATTAGAATGAAGTTTCTTTATTAACTATTTAATGCTCCTATAACTTTTATTACTGTAAAGTGAATCTAAAATATGCGCGTTAGAGAATGTACAAATGGTTAACACTGTCTCATATTAGTCAGAAAAGCATTTTTATTTTTATTTTTAGCTAACTTAGTTGTTATTCTTGGCTGAATATCTATAGGTTTTCAAAAGCCCTTTAAAATTGAATATGTACACTGTTTGGATTAAATGAAAGTATAGTCAAATTTTTTTAATTAGCATGTTTTTGTGTTTTGCTTTGGTACCGAGAACCGTGGATTTTCACTGGTATTGGTACCGAATACTGAAATTTTGTTACCGTGACAACACTACTAGGGATGTAACGATTCACCGTGAGCCGGTTGAAAATTGATATAAATTAGACGTTTCAAATCAGTTGAGATGTTAAACGAATCACGATAAATTTGGGGTGGGAGTTTATATGAATGGTTCTCTGAGGGGAACTGACTGTCTTCAGAAAAGTTTAGATGATATATTCTTTTCATCTAGTCTCTGTGTAATGCATATTAAAGCAGCGTTCATAAGCGCTGCGCCGCTTTTTTACAGCCAAGGAAACACTGCATCGCTGCTGTTCCATAAGCACCACCTGCTGTCAGAGAGTGAATCTGCATCTCATTCAGAGCTTCTGCTGTCTCGTGCAGATATTTTATGTAGTATTTTAAAATTTAAAATTATACAATCTAATTCAGATTTTAAAAACTGCATGTATACTAGGACTGTGCGATATGAACAAAAATAACCTATCGCGATTTCTTTGATCAATTTTGCGATTTCGATTTTAATCACGATTTTGACACACACAGACATGCTTTACAGTAATTAATGCATTCAGTGTAAATTTGAAACATATTTACAAAAGAAAACCAATTAGAGCTTTATCAAAAAGCTGTAACATGTCTCTAGAACAGACATAAGGCAAAATAATCACTAAGTAAAGGTGTAACAAAATGTCTCTAGAATAGACATATATGGCAGAAAAAAAACAATCCCATGTCCAGGGATTTTTTTTTGCCATGCATTGGTCATAGAGCTCTTTGTGGCGTTGCCTCAGATGTTGAACTAGATTTGTTGCGCCAAGTTCACACGTACTCCGTCTGCAGTGCGTATACAGTATGTGTATGCGGTGCAGAAGCAGGTGTGAGAGTGAGAGTGCGTGTGTGTGTGTGTGTGAGTGTGAGTGAGAGTGAGA